CCTAAATGAACGCGATCATTTTCGGCATGGCAACGCCTCCGGAAAGTGGATTGCCTTGACTCAATCGGCCGGGTATTGATAGCACACAAAAGCAAAGAGCGTTCCAATAGTACCGAGGTGCATGCTACAAGCGTAGTTACACGCGTTCCACGTGCTGGCGTCCGGAGCAGTAATTGTTCTAAAGCAAAAAGTCCAAAAACGAACTTTGCCTTGCACGCGCGTTCGTCAAAGCCTTATTACGATTATTTACTTCCAATCTTTGATAAGAGGAAGGCCAGTGCGCGCGGACCGTAAAATTACACTTCCAGCGTTCTCCTCGGTGCTTGGAAAATTTAGAAAAAGGCCTATTGCGACGCTGTCTGCTTTTTTGTGCTATCAATATTGAGTAAAGGCAATCCGCTTTCCAAAGGCGTAGCCATATCGACAATTATCGCGTTCATTTAGGCTTAGGTATGGCCTAAATAGAAACACTATCTAAGAAATGCGGCGAGGTCATTGCTCATGCTTTGCGATTTAAGTGAGTTTAGGCAAAGCGAAAGCCTCCTGCACCTTTCGTTGCTGACTAACGCGTCCGATATTGCAGCTACAACGACATGTTGGTTTTAAAGCGACCGGCGCTCACTCACCGCGGTACCGCCATGTTTCCCCGCATCCCCAATACCGAGCACAGTCAAGTGTTTTCAAAATCACTCTCCTAGGTGGAGCGGCTAACTTTAGCCGCGGTTAGCGCTTCGAGCAAACGGGCCCTGGTGGCCACCTGGCGCTTATACGAACCGTGTTTTCTGGCTCTAATGCGTACCCTTCGATGAAAGAGGCTTTCCTGGCACCAGGCCTCTAGCTTATTTGTCTATGAGATAAGCGTGGCCGGGCGGACCCGTAGTACATGAATGCTCATCCTTAGAGGTCTGTTCCGGCTGATGTTCAAAAGCCCAACCTCGCCTGGGCCGCTGCCTCCACGACCTGGGGCCACTTGCTGCCTGCTATTTATTTCCGATAGCCGGCGCGGCGGTGCTAGGTCTTCCTGAAGGACGTCGTGCAACCGCCCACGTAATCTAGCGAAGTCACGGACCCGAAATAATTGTTAACTTGTCCAAATAATTCATATAAAACTAGGAAGTACATGAGTTGGTCGTGCCCGCAACACACGCGTAACCATCCGACGCAATACGTAACCAAGCTCAAGAAATCATGGCCCGCGTATTGTGCATCCGCGACACATTTTGTGCTGTCCGCGTTAAAAAAAATTACCATGAGAAAAAAACATTGTTGGCTTGCATTTATTACAGACTATTCGAACGCAGCTAGACAAGCACCAAAATCCAAGTTCCTCGGGATACCTCGTTCTGGGGATGGATTTTTATGCGCCTAGATCCGGAAGACTCTACACAACAATGCTGGACCAACTAAGGCACGTTTCTTGCTTTTAAGCCCTATGTGATGAACATGTTTAATATACTTATAATAGGATTTTGAGCGCAACAAAAAAATTATGTATCTAGAGATTGACCGAATGCATAGCGTTAGAAAATGAGAAGACTCATAAACGAAGACTGTTTTCTTCCTTCGAAATAATAAATACAAAAATCAAACCCATGTCAGAATTAGTAGCTCAAAAGTAAAATTTGCTCGTGTGTCTTGATCGCATTTGGAGCGCTATTTACAGAACAAATCACGTTAATATAAAAGCTGTGAAGTCGTGGCTCGAATATGGAATGTTGGTGTTTTAATTCATATTTAATGGGGCATGTACTAAAACAAATCTCTACTGTATGAATAAAAATACAGAATTCATAAACAGCTTGTAGAAAATGCACCTGAAAGAAAACGTTAAGAGACTGTTACTTCAAGTACTATCATAGTCTTCATCCCAATCAACGACCCCATTATCACACCTAGCGCCTTGCTGAATCAGTGTTTGTATCCGACCCTTAGCTCTCGTAGTACTCTGATTAAATTCTATATTTTTATAATAATATTGCAATTAATGCAAAGTGGAAGCGAAATAAACAATACTAAATATCACAATCCTGAAGAAGAGAACAAGTGGAACGGAGGACAAACAGAAATCTCCGAACACGGCTAAGTGATTGATGCGCGACTGCAAAAATCCGCCTTGTTCTGGTATCAAACCATGGTCATCTCCATTTCCACTGGAGCGCTGTACCAACAGAGCTGAACTGTAGTTAGTCGTCAGTACAGCAAACTTATTTTAACAGCTACTATCTGTGTAACACCAACAAGGGCCAACGACCTGCATTTTAGGGTTTTGTGATAATTGTAATATTGCACAAGTGCAAGTGAGCGGGTAATATTAACGAGCGCGTGACAAAGTGAGCCAGCGAGCGAAAACATGTTCTTTAATAGGTGTATGTCTCTCTTGCTTAATGGCATCTGGTGAAGGGGAAGAGTGCTATGCGGTGTCCTGGAGACCCACCTTGCGCAAGTACACAAGAAATGAATCCAAGACCGCTTTACGGTGTGCTTACTCGCGTTTTTTTTTTTTTTTTTGTGTCATCGGAGAGCTGAGACCAGGCACAATTCCGATGCCCTTGCAGCGTCAGGCACCTCCCAAGGCGGTGCTGGAGGTTGGCAGTTGAAATCTCATTCTGCTCCTGAACACGCATTGAAATTTTTGGTTTTCGTTTTGAAGAGCGCTTGTTTGCCTAAGGTGTGTTCGCCGCCGATCCGTGTCCTCCGGCCCACCGACTGTAGCCATGCGAGGCTGGGCCCTCCCCCTCCGAAATCAGAAGCCGGAACGCTTGGCGCCGTTCCTTCCTCGCAAACTCTATCGCCTCCTCATCTCAGAGTCGTAGTGTTCTTCCAAGCCGACCAGTTTTGTGCTGTTTTCAAGGATATGATTCTAAGCTTTCCGGGCTCTGCTGTAGGCCAGCTCATTGACCTGCAAGACACGATGGCCAGAAATGCCCTTGATTGTAAATTTATGAAAATCTCGTCGAAGTTCCCGTGCAATTGCACGAATCATTCAGACTAGGGTGCCTTCATGTGCGCTTGAAGGCACCCTAATTCAGACAGACCTGCGTCCGGTAAACTACTTGCCAAAATTTCACTGGCACCCCGAATCAGATCAGCAGCGGACGTTATATTTTCATGTTTTATTGAGCAAGCGTCTCTGAACTTATCAATAAACAAACAGTAATGCCTGAGGCTCCGCTTTCTACACTTTAGGGTTGTCGGGAACTCTAAGCTTCGCTGTCGACTCAGTCATTTCGCAGTACCTTGTGATTGCAGAGTGGTCGACCAGTGATGCAGCATTAGTACGTGAACTACGCGTCGTTCCGTCGCTCACCATCACTTTTACTTATAATTATGCTAGCATGCATTTTCGTGGTGCATGCGGCACTCTTTTGCTCCAACTTGACTGGTTTGAACTGGACTTAACTGTACGCGTTTCCAACCGTGCTCTTTTGCTCCTTGCGTGTGCTAGTTAAGTCCCCTTTCCAACTTTAGTTAGGAGGAGAGAAAGTCTCGGACGCTTTTAATGAGGCATCGCTGTTGACGCGCACTACTCTTACAATGTCTCCGTGGCGTAACCAGGAGGTTTTGTTTCCTTAGTGCACACAACATACGCGACAACCTAAGTCCTAAGCGCATCGACGAAGCTGTTTGCGCGAAACCGCCGACACCCAGTAGAGAAGATCGATTCCTGAAAGGAAACAGCATGCGGACCGTAGGCCGCGATCAAGACAAGCCGTGGTTGCTACATCCAAAAGTGCCGACGCCCGTACATACAAAGTGATTCTCAAAAAAAAAAGAAACTGCAAGAACACCGTGGGCGGTGATCAGGAGAGGCGCGGTGGCAGCAGTCGAAAGCGCCGACGCCAAAGGAAACAGACAGCTTCTGCAAAGACATTGAAACCCTTGGCAAGACGCTTACGAATTTTGTCGAAAAAGCGCAAAACACAGGCAATTTAGACGTATTTTTTCGTGTATCAGCACGAGGACTGTCAGCCTTAGTAGTATAACATCAGCGGCGCCATTTGCGCGCAGGAGTATTGCATGGTGTGCAGACTTACCGTCTCCTGGTCTTCATTCCAGCGCGACAATGTCAGCCCGCGAGCGCGTTGTTCGATGTCAGGACGGAGTAGTTTTCGTACTTTTGATATACAAAAGCCTACCCACGTCCAGCGCTCCTGTGTTTGTTTTATCAGCTTATACGACCCGTGTGACGTTTTAGAAGATTTTATTAAACTATGACTATTCAGTGTAAAGACAACGACAGTAACTCTGCGAAATGTTTTTTTGAGTATTTCAGCTTACGATGCTTTTGCGTTTCCTGAAGATGTGGTTACCACAACGGAACGACATGCACCAGTTTTAATAATTTATGAAGTCACTATAATATGCCATTTTCTCTCCTTTGTATATCAGGATGCTCTTGGTCTGCTGGCAGATCAAGCTCGTCTTACTTAGGATAAGGTGAACAAGGCTAAATTTTAGCAAATGAAAATGAAACTGGGCTGTTAATCTCTATATCCAGTGTAAGACACGTGAGCAATGACAGGGACCTCGCCCATATGGTGTAGCGTGGAGCTCCTGCGATCCTATGTTAATTAGAAACGACTGAAGCAGTGCGTATTTCACGCTGGCTGCAACGCCTGGTATCCATGAAATATGGCTTGGTTAGGGGTCGCAACTCTCTTGTAGAAACCTGTGCACACCTGCTCTGTCCACATTGCGATATATGCAGCTCACGATTTCTGCCTCCCGAGCATACTATAGTAGAAAGCAGTGCAGACATATTCTTGCTTTAAACATGAATTCATAGTTTTTATTTATTATCGAAATGGTTTATTCGTCTCATTTTTTTAAAATACTTCTCCATAATGTAGCCATTAACAATGAGGAATGTAGACTACTTTTTGCAATAAAACTAACAGTTTTGTTTTTAATTCCAGCTCTTTCCACGTTGACGGAATTATAATTCGGACACACCTAGGGGTTTCAATCGACAAATACATAGATTGCAAAATGACTGGACCGACCATATATGAAGGAAGTGGGAACATCTACGAGGTTTCAATTGTGAGTAGAAGTCCTATTCAATATTTTAAACGCTAAATCAACGTAGGAAAGTCGAAAGTAGGTCAATGGTTAGCGTGCCCGAATTTCACGCAGGAGTGCCGAGTTCGAATCGCAGCCGTGGTTCTTTTTTTATTAATATTTACTTAGTTTCTGGAAATATACAGGAAAAAAACTCACTAGGGTGTTACCTTTATGTTCCGCTTATGCATAATATTATTCTAGTATTTTGTGGTTGGTACGCGATGTAGCTACCATTTCTTATAAACAGTATGGCTGCAGAGGGGCAGTTTTCGCCAGCGCTCTACCCAGCAGTCACGCAGCCATCGACGACCCCGACCCCTGTACCTCCGGTTTTGTTTTGAGCAGAAGTTCGCCCTAATAAACTCTTAGTACTCTACTACATTAGCCGTCTGTTTAAGTGTAATTCCTCAGAATATTTCCCCGCAGGGGGCACCTGTGAAAGCAGGTGTTTGGAGAGTGGCGTCTCCACGGACCCCGAGCCATGCGGGTTCGCCCGCCCACGTCTGACTGTGCGTGGCTTTCCCGTGTCTGGGGAAAAGGGCATCCTGGTGGTTGAGCCGAGCCCGGGGCAGGGTTGGACCCTTCGGGGCCCCCCGGGCGAGGCAATACACCACTTCGGCCCCCGCTTCTCATAGACGGGAGTCCTGGTAAGGCCCGGCCAGGATGATTCAGTCTAGTCGCCACATCTTCTACTATCCCCTCCCTTCTTTCACCCTTGTCTTCTCCTTCTTTTCACTCTTCTCATTTCTCTTCTTTCCTTCTTCAACTCTTTTGGCGGCAAGGGCTAACCTTGGGTGGCGACAGACCCCTTGTCCAGACCCACACATGGTTATAGTTCTGTTGTTGTTGTTGTTTGCGGTTTTTATGGCGCAACAGCAACGGAGGTCATACTGCGCCAGACTAAATTAACTGATGAAACTCCTATAGTTACTTCATTACAAAAAGATGATCCTGAAACAACTGGGATTAGATCTGGTGTATAAGGCCAGTACTAGTAATATATGATAAAACTCGATCAAGAGGAACGAGAGGGTGCTTTCCCAGCAAAAGAGCGGGATGAAATGGAATACAAGATCTAAAAAACTCAGGAAAATGAGCGCGTCGTTCAGTGTCGAATTCCGGGCAGATCCACAAAATATGAAGAATAGTAAGATTGTCTCCACAGTGCTCACAAACTGGTGGATCCTCCCCACAAAGGAGATATCTGTGTGTAAGGAAGGAGTGCCCGATTCGAAGCCGGCACAATACAACTTCGTGAAAGCGGTTCTTAAGTGAGGACCTCTCCCAAGACCCAAGGACTGGTTTGCTTACATGGAGCTTGTTATTAGTCTCCATGGCCCACTCTGTCTGCCACAAACTAAAAGTGATGACTTAATTAATGATTTGATATCCTGATAGGGCAAGCTTGCTTGATATTTAGAGAAGTTACCTGAAGATGCAGCGAGCCTGTCTGCCTCCTCATTACCCTTTATACCCATATGACTCGGAACCCAGCAGAATTTTATAATGTGACACTTACGTAAAGCTCCGTTAAGTTTACCTGGTTATAGTTCCTGGGCAGTGCTAATAGCATAACGTCTCCAGCAAAGCCCTTTTTGTTATGGTGCGTTATCATTCCCATGTTGGGCTCCGTGGTGGGCGGCACACCACAGGTTCCGAAAAAACTTCGCCTCTTATGGCAGCCCCCCAAACCAAAACCCCCAGTTCTGGACGTGCCGCTAAGAGGCATCGTCCCGAACGAATGGTCATAGTAAAAGATAAAGAAGACGAAACTTTTTCAAGATTTATGGTGATCCACTCCGAGGTCCCTGACAATCCTCTCTCAAAGATGTCACCGTTCCTTGTAGCGAAAGTTCTTGACAATCAGATAGGTGGTGATTACAAAGCGAAGAAACTGCATTCTGGTGATCTGCTCGTTGAAGTTGCAAAAAAATCCCAGAGCACTACTCTTCTAAAATTGACATCGCTAGGTGACGTGCCGGTAACAGTTAGCACCCACAGAACCCTCAACACCATTCGAGGGGTGATTTCAGAAGACGATTTTACCAGCAGTGAAGACGAGATCTTGGAAGGCCTGCGGGCATCTAGAGTAGTGGCCTTGAAACGCATTATGACGAGGCGTGACGGCGCAGAGGTGAAAACTAAACACCTTATCCTGACTTTTGAACGTCACACGCTTCCTGCACTCGTCAAAGCTGGCTACCTGAATTGCCGTGTCAGACCATACGTCCCGAACCCACAGCGATGCTTCCGTTGCCAGCGTTTTGGTCACGGGTCGCGCAGCTGTCGGGGGAGGGAGACGTGTGCAAAGTGTGCGAGCTACGACCATGTGGCCGACGTCTGTGAAGGTTCCGTTGCCTGCGCGAACTGCAAGGGTCCTCACCCTGCTTACTCTCGGTCCTGCCCGCTGTGGCGACAAGAAAAAGAGATCCTTACCTTACGAGCCAAAAAGAACTTATCGTACCCTGAAGCAAAACAAAGGTTTTACTTCATTTCCAAAGGTACCTACTCCGACGCGGTGCGCAGGGGCCCTGCACCACGTACGGAGTCCAGGGCCACTCAGTTCTCTTTTGAGGACTTAGCAGGCCCCTCTCAGGCCCCGAAACAACCTGCGGGGAAGCAGGGTGCCCCGGGTAACGCTGGGAGCACACAGCCACCCCAGTTGATTCAGGCACGACCTCCGGCTGACCGGCAGCCTCGTGCCAGTAGTTCTTTTCAGGATGGGGAGCGAGGCCGTCGTTCCAATTCCTCGGAGGCGGCCCGCCTTGTTACGGAGCAACAGGGTCCACCTGCTGCTCCATCAACGTCAAAAGACGGAAGCACAAATGTGGGAGGGTCCCGGCGTAGTACGTCGAAGCCTTCTTCGGCGGGGTCTGGCCGTGGCCGAAAACTCGTGGCTCAGGCCTCCGACCAGGTCGGAACTGGCAAACCTGCGTCCAAGGTTCAGGATGCAGTGGGAGCTGTTGACATTGCTGACTCCTCCGGTCCTTCCTCGGATCAGGAGGACATGGAATGGCAAACTGCTAAATCAAAACAGAAAGGAAAAAAGCCGGTGGTTCCTCCTTAGTGCATAGCACATGCAGAATTGCTCTAATTCAATTATGAAATTTTTTATCTTTTAAAATGGGCTCTGTAATTCTTCAGTGGAACTGCCGTGGCTTATTCACTAACCTTGCAGATGTTGAGTTCCTTTTAGAAGAGTATAAGGCATCTGCCTTATGCTTGCAGGAGACACACTTGAATACATCTCACACTAACTTTCTGAGACGCTACAGTGTGTTTCGTAAAGACCGCCCTAGCACGTCCATTTCTTGTGGCGGCGTTGCGGTGGTGCTTCCAAAACATATTCCGTGTTCAGAGGTTCCGCTTCAGACGCCACTCGAAGCTATCGCTGCTCGTCTCTTGTTGCATAAAGCCATAACTGTGTGTTCAGTGTATTTTCCACCTTCTCTTTCTCTGAAGCGACAAGATCTCGACTCTCTTTTAAGCCAGCTTCCAGAGCCCTTTCTTTTACTCGGTGATTTTAACGCACATAGTACCCTCTGGGGAAGTGATCATACAGATACGCGTGGAAAGATAATAGAATCCATATTATTTTCACAGTCATTATGCATTTTTAATACTGGCCATCCTACATATTTTAGTCCTTCATCCTTGTCATTTACATGCATCGATCTTTCTATTGGCAGTGCAAATCTGCTACCCGATTTTTCATGGACTGTTGATCAGAATCCTCATGGAAGTGACCACTTCCCCATTATCTTAAAATGTAACGACACTCCGCAGTCTTCACCTACGCGCCATCCACGCTGGAAGTTTGAAAAAGCAGACTGGAGCCTTTTTAAGCAGTCGTCACTCCTGGCCTGTTCTCGCCTCGATCAGCTTTCGATTGATGAGCTCAGCCATCTTTTAACATCCCATATTCTCACTGCAGCGTCACTCTCAATCCCTCGGTCATCTGGACAGCTCCCTAGACGACCGAAGCCATGGTGGAATGAAGACTGTAAAGAGAGTCGCAAACAGCAAAACAAAGCTTGGAGTGTTCTAAGACGTTATCCAACTCGGGATAACCTGATATCTTTCCGAAAAATGAAAGCTCGTGCTAGGTACATTCGTCGGAAAGCGAAACGCGAGAGCTGGCAAAAATATGCGTCCTCTATCAATAGTAGTACTTCTTCCAAGGAAGTGTGGGACAGGATTCATAAAATAAATGGCTCATATCATACTTTCACTATTCCACTTCTTTCCAGGAATGGAAAATGCCCAAGCAATCTTGAAGAACAGGGCAACATCCTTGGCGAGCATTTTGAATTCATTTCCAGCTCGCAGCATTACTCGCCTGCTTTTCTGCAACATAAAAGGAAAGCTGAAAGTATGGTACTGAAAACATCCGGTGGTGAACGCGAAGCTTATAATACCCCCTTTACTTTACACGAACTGAACATAGTGCTCCAAAACTCTATCGGCTCCTGGTCCAGATGGTATTCATTATTATATGCTTCAACATCTCCATCCTTCCACAGTTGATATTGTTTTATACCTTTTTAATCGTATTTGGTTTGAGGGCTACTTTCCATTGGACTGGAGAATGGCAACAATCATACCCATACTCAAGCCCGGTAAGGATCCATCCTGTGCAGCTAGTTATAGGCCTATCGCTTTGACTAGCTGCTTTGGAAAGACTCTTGAACGAATAATTAATAGAAGACTGATGCATTTTCTTGAAGTAAACAAACATCTAGATGTGAACCAGTGTGGCTATCGTTCGTCTCGGTCCACTCTTGACCATTTAGTACGGCTGGAGACAGTCGTGCGTGAGGCCTTCGTTCATAGACAACATTGCCTATCTGTATTTTTTGACCTCGAAAAAGCCTACGATACAGCCTGGCGTTTTGGTACACTGAGGGACTTGTATGATATGGGTATCCGTGGTCGAATGCTTCGTACCATTGAGAGCTACCTCAGCAGGCGCACCTTTC